AACCAATCGAAAGTGTGACACCTAGTTTGGTGTCCGATATGAAAAAGAATGCCCCATATATATATGTACATCCCAAGAATGAAAGAATTCAAGATTGCGTCCTGGCGGGGGAGCTGACATTTCTCAAGTAAAAGTATATGAAGATAACCGAAACTGTCAGATTAGTCAATAATCTTAATAATAAATTTTTTTTATAGAAAAAGTGAGTTAATTGTAAAAATATATGATTTAAAAAAAGTATTAATAAATAAAATGTTAAAAATGGTGATTTTTGGGAAAGTATTAGTGAATTTCCGTGCATTTAAAGTTTTTGAAGCGTTGTTTACTTTTGGATGAGAATTGTCTAAATCGGCAAAACCAAAGTAGCGGTGCGTCTGACGGGCCACTTTTGTTCGCTACATCGTGTGTACCAGGGTAACCAACTCATTTTTGTGAACTCCCCGATTTCGACAATGAAATTCCCCGTTTTTGCTCGAAATTTCGTAAAATTCCCACCCATACTTATATATTTCCTTATTTAAAAAAAAATATATATATTTTGACATATTGCTGGTATTTCTGTTTATTTTATTTTTAAATATTTATAATTCATCTATGTATTCATAAATTAAACCAAGCTTTTGTTAAGTTTGTTAACAAATGAAGAATAAAAAATGTACATATAACATTTACATACATACAGCGGTTCACAGCGGTTATTCATATAAAAATATAATTCATTCTTTACCGAAAACCGTTTAAATCCCATTTTCAAACTTTGTGCAATATTAAAAAAAAAAACTCAACAAACTGTCGTAAAAATTTCGAGCTTTTTAATCTGATTTTCTAGAAAAATTTTCAGTGTGCAGTTTTGTAGCCCACTCAATTCTTATAAAAAAGTGCAAGTTTCAAGTTCCTAAAACTTGTCATATTCAAGTAGTTTTTTTGCCGAAGGAGTTGCGGTTTTCTTCCACATAAAATAAATTGTGTTTTAAAAATTGTTCTAAAAAATCAACGCTAATTTTTAGCCATTTGAAACTTTATTATACAAGGATTGAACGAGCTACAAAACTGCATACGGCTCATTCCAGGGTGACGGGTGAAACATTTCAACTTACATTTTTTATAAATCATTATGAAATTAGTGAAGCAAAAAATAAAAATTATTTACACCTAATTCCCCGCAAAAAACGGTCCATTCCCCGATTCCCCACGCAAACTGAAATTCCCCGCAAACCGGGGAATTCCGCACGAGTTGGCTTCCCTGGTGTGTACATCCAAATGTACGCATGAATGCGCATAAAATTCTATGTAGGTTTGTTGATAGAAGCTATCACAAAATAATATTACCTTTTAGATATACTCCATTATATATCTTTGAAAAAATAGTATCTTTTTTTAAACTACTAAAAAGGTTGTTGCGCAAATGTTCCATATGAAACATATACTCCTTTTTGTAGCAGCTGATGTTTATATCGTAGTTTATTTTCGCAAATATTTCGTCCATTTTTGGGAAAGACACACAATGTAGCCGATATTCTACAATATATACTAGGAAAATCGTAAGCTAATGATTAGAAAAGTGATCGCCCGAGTGATCGGATTCGTTTTGCCTTGACAGATCAGTGGTATGTATATGGCTGAGAGTTCGATAAACGGCACAGTATATACAGTAATAAACTTTTTGAGTACTCCTCGGGGGTAAAATGCGATCAGGGTTGATAATGAGAAGGAGCATGAATTTTACTGATTCAGAGTTGCATGCAAAATTACTGTGGTATGAAAGGGAGGAACAACCGTACTAAGGCAGAGTGGCACAGCTGATTTTGTAAACAAACACTTTCATTTCATCATTTCAAAAAGATAATTGCTATTTATTTTCCAATATTCAGATATCCAGCTTGTAACCTGAGGCAGTGGCTTGTGAGGCTCACTACAATCTACTCATCATATTGGAGCAGCTCCGGGTAATGGATCATTGAATGTGTTGGCTGAACTTATGACCACCATGACCAACGCAGTCTCCAACCAAATGCGTGTCTTGAATTTATACGGTAGCAATTCATAGCAGTTGCTATTGTATGTGTGTATGATTCATATTTGCGACATTCTATACTTTGATGTTTAGTATTTTTGACGAGTTCCGCTCAAACTTGGGTGTGCTTAATGAAGTCTCTATAACTAAACAAACCTTTTTTTTGGAAGACTTAAATATATTCGGAAATTTAGACTTTTCCTTGATAAATTCATAAAATTCACGTTTTTAATAAAAATACGATGTTAGTTTCCAGTTTCTAGAAACACAAGCGTTAATTATTAACTTTTGATATTATTAATTAAGCATTGGTATTGTACTTAACCTACATTTAGTTCATAAATAACACAATTATATATATTTTATCCTCGAAAAGACTTATTTCTAATCATTAGGCGAAATTCACCACAGTAAGTGTTGCCGTGCGCGCAAAACGAAAACGCTGCACACAACCCAAAAGTACTCCTTGGGGACCAATTGGTGAAAAACTGCGAAAAGGTTTATTTTTGTATATACTGTGATAAACGGCACGAACGAACGAATAAGATCACCCAGACGGCGTACGAGAAAAAAGTATTTTTTTTTGTAGTGACGACATTTTTACGCCGCCATGTGAACGAAATGGAATGAAGCCATGTGAATCCGATCAAAAAATAACGTCATCAACAAATAGTTTTTCTCAAATACACGGTTGATGTGCTGGGTGATCTGTAGCTCGTTTCTGTAGCAATTCTCTACCAAGGCGAATTCATATTCATATACATATGAATTCGCTGCCTTGTTCTCTACTGCTAATGAGAAGTAGATAATGACATACAAGGTGGTGTTGGGGCGACAGCTAAGTTTTTCGCCGTGGAGGCCATTACGTCAAAATGATGTGTTTGTTGTAACTCATACCAATGACAGTATGGACATCAGCGTATAATTTGTTAGTGTAATTTTTTACTTATATACGGCCAAATCCACCTTGTTAAATACGCCTTGATGACATACATATGTTCTCTACCAGTAGAGAAATAATCGGTAGAGAAGGGTTCATGGATAAACGTGTCAGTTTTTCCGCCATATCGAAATATTATATTATATTTTTGGAAATATCTAGTCCCAAACATACTGTAAATGGTTACGTGAGTCGATTTTCAAAATTTGTTTAGCTTCGTTTTTATTCATGAAGTCTATTAATATTTATTGCCTTGATTATAATGAACTAGGGATGGGTAAATTCGATATTCGAAGATTCGGATTTCGTCTTAATTTGCAAAAAAGCAACTCTGCAACTTTCTCCTTTCTGACGAAATATGACATCACTGTGTGTGGCACCGTATTTGCCTTAGGGATGCAAGTCAATAAAATACATCGACTTTTTTAGATCTGATGCAACGAAATATTGCGTCGATGTATCGTTTATAAAAATCGATATTTTCGATGCAGCGAATTAGGGATGCGTACCGGCAATGAAAATTCGGTATATCGATATCGCGATATTCTAAACTCACAATATCCAATACCGATATATCTACTAAAATAATATCGATATATTGAATATCGGAAATATCGAAAACGAACTGGTTAATAAAGATATATTGTTTATGAAACTACATACAATACGTATACTTGGAATTAAAATGCAAATAAGCATAAATTAAAATAACGAAGTTACTTTGGATAAGTACCTTCAAAGAGACACACGTTTTCATATGTATGGATGTATTTCTAAAAGTGAAGTACAAATTTTTATATTTTTATGAATTTTTGTTTTTCATGCTTACTATGCCAAAAGCGTTTTTTTCGAGAACAAAAAATTTTTCCAACTAGTCAATTTTATTTTCAATTCAGAAGCCCAGAGTAGGTAGAGAAAAGTTTCCGATATTTCACATATCGAAACAAAATATTGTATCGATATCGTATCGCAACTCGAGATATCGATATAAATTAACCGATATGATGAACAACGATATTGATATATTGAATATCGTATCGGTATCGCGCATCCCTACAGCGAATAAATTAAAAACATACAAGAAAATGGAACAGTCGGAACTTCGATAAATGTGTTGACGTCCATTAATGTCAATGGCGCATAGTCATAGTCATATTTAGTACTCAACTAAGTCGAAACTATTCTAAGTCACAACTAAAGCTATTCATAGTCGCCTTAGTTTCGACTTTTCTGGCTAAGTACCAACTTAAAATTTAGTTTCGGCTGCAGCTGCAACTAAGTCGTAACTAGGAAGAAGTATTTTATCAAATTAAGGGAAAACAGACGAAATATGTAAAAATTAAGTTGGTAGAAGGTGATTTTGATAATATTGAATAATCTCCAATTAAAATTTACAAAGATCGATCCATTTTATTCGGAAGATGAAATTAAATGCGTATTACAATTCAAATAAAGCTACATAACAAATCTATAATTGGAATAATTTAGATAAATTCTCAAATAATAAGTCAGTTTCACGCTAGTTCTTTCAAAGTAAATTTGTGCATAACATTTAGATATCTACTATTTGTATGTTTCACAGCATGCTTTCGATAAACATCGACATCACATCACTGCGGTTGTTCTGGCTACTTCACACAATTAACAAGAAAATGATACCTTATTCTTTTGCATAATTATGCAGTGAAAATAAAAATTACATAAGCGGATGATCAAACTTGACATTATTTAATAAAAATGTAATTTTTCCAAAATATCGTAAAGAAAAATCGATACATTTTCACACCCGTTTTGCTTTATCGTAAACTAAGTCGAAACTACTTAGTAGAAGTCTGAAATGCGACTATGAATAAAGGTAAATTTTAAGTTGGTACTTAAATTTAAGTTGCAACTTTGTTAGTTTCGACTTAGTTGCTGGGCTATGAATACGCGCCAATGACATTAATACAGTGAATTTTGTTATTTAGACTTAAATTCGCAAAATGAAAGTGTGTTTATGCCTGTGTATTATTGTCATAGACATTAGAGGTCTTCATCTGAAGTGTTAAAGGGATTAATTGCTTAAATTTATCAGTTTATCTGCATTCTTTCATGAACGCACCTTGGTAAATAATTGCATAAAATTCTTTATTATTTAACTTATATGGCTAGATACGTTTTTATTACACAAAACCATTAGTTACACAAAATAATCTTAATGGTATGTTAATCTATTTGGTTTCTTAGTTGTTCTCTCAGAACGATGCACTGCCAAATATTTGCTTGGAAGCTGCGGTTTATCCTCCAATTCACCAGTTCTTTTCCTCTGATTTGTTTTAGGGATAACTAACTGCGATACCTAAACAAAAGCGTCAGCGTTGTCTGGCTGTCAAAAAATTCTCATGCCCATACAATTTGTATGAAGCATACCGAAACAACGCGGCGTCAATGCTGAGCGGTTGGAAAATCCGATTTTGAAAGGGCGTTAGGCATTGAAGTTGGCTGCAGAAAAAGGCGAAACTGTCATTTTCGTGTTACACACAAACAAAGCTATGCTTATTGTTGGTGTTATTTCTGCGTTTGACGTAGCGTTGACGCTTTTGTTTAGGTATGGCACTTCGGCGTTAACGCTAGGCGTCAGAAACCGCTCCGCCCAACGCTTTTGTTTAGGTATGGCAGTAAGTGTTTTTTTCGTGGACAAACTTGCGCAGATGATCAACATGAATTTGACGTACAACAGTGTAAATTTTTATACCCGAGCGCACTTGTGCACAAGGGTATGTTAATTTTGTTCACATAACGGTTGTTTGTAACAGCCAAAACGAATCGAGATAGATATAGGCAAATGTATACATAAATGCTCAGAATGAATAGAGAAGACGATTAAGCCATGTCTGTCTGTCCGTCCGTCCGTGTACACGATAACTCGAGCAAACGGTAATTTCCAGAAATACGAAAACTGCGATATTTTAGTAACTACCGAAGATAATTCACTCAAAATTGATATTTACAATAATTTTCAGACGAAAAATAAGAATATTAAAAATTTTTGGAAAATGGGCGTAGCCACGCCCACTTATGGTTACATGTGTATATCTTGGTAACCGCTGCACCAATTTCTTCCAAACTTGGCCCAGTTGTTGGCCTTGGTACAACATACTAAATGGCGGAAAATTTACAAAATCTTCGATAAATCAGTAAATATTGAAGCTAATTTATTCAAAATTCATGTTTGCAGCAACTCTTTACCAAGAAATACGTTTATGATAAAATTTTGGAAAATGGGCGTGGCACCGCCCACTTATGATCACATATATGTACAGTGACGAGCAAAACTGTAACATGGTTTAACACTTCTTGTTTCAGCCACCGCTATATTTCCAAGTTCTAACGACTTTCATCCTTTTGTTGAATATTCTTGTTGGAGCAACCCTACTCCCTCTCTGATTTGAAGTCAATACAGCAACAATAAAAAAACCAGCAGACAAAAATGTAAGTTAAGGCAGATGTTACAGTTTTGCACTCACTCTCAGTTTTGCATTTGANGAATTGTTTGTTTATCTGTATTCGCATTCTCATTCGCAACCGCGGAACTTCCGCATAAATTTTAACATTCGCATTCGCTTTCGCATTCGCAATAATCAATGCGGAGCTTTTGAGAATGCGAATATTGTGCAAGTGCCCCAAAAGATATGTCAAAACACATTGAGCG